TGAAGATGAAGCAAGATTTGGGAACAGGGGAGATCAGGCTGGTGGCCAAGCCTTCTCCTGGTGTGTCCAAGGTTGACTTTTGCCAACTGGCAGAGGAGGCAAGAAAGAAGGGAAGGAAAGAAAATGAGGCTGAAGAAGGCTGGGCTGAACATTCTGTGAGGCAAAAGCCCAGGACAGTTAGCTTGGCCAAACTTAGAAAGGCCAACAAATTTGGGAAGACTTTGGTGCTAGGCTGAAGTGCAACCTCAAAAGGCTTGCAATGTGTATTATGTGCCAGCATGCCACTTATAGTAATTACATCTGTTGCTGCTACACATTTCCAGCTCCCCTCCCTATCTAAAAATAGCATGGTTGGGCATTAGCTTGCAAACTAATGAGAAACTGCTGGGAGAGCCAAGACCTCTATGAAATGGAAAAAGGAAAAACAAAATAAACCAAAAACCATTCTTGTTTATTCCAAAGCAAGTAAGTTCAAAGATTGCAGGAAAAAAATCCAACAAGGAGGAATGATACCAGATTGGAATACACTATTTGTTTCTTTCTCATGTATAAAAGTTAAGGGTCATCTGCTCACTGTTTAGAGTATTTTTTCTCTTTGTGAATGTTTTTCTTGGCCTGATAAGTACGCTAAAATCTTGTTCAATGTGCACTAAAGCATATACCAGTTCTACGCTCCAAACCTCAGCTGCCTACAAATTATTAGAAGGTAACTGGGGAAAGAAATAGCACCAGAATCTCATTGCCAAACAGGAGAATGAGAACTCATGAGGGATTCCTCAATTAAATCCCAAATTCTGCACCATATCAAACAGTGTAAAGAATCAACTTTCCTAGGATTAATTGGAGCAAGTGAACAGTTCTTGCTGTGTTGCACAGCAGAATCTATGAGTTAGGGTTAGGATTAGGGTCTAAAGCAGTGTTTCTCAACCTTACTAATACTAGACTCTGGATTTCAACTCCCAGAATTCCCCAGTCAGACAATTGGAGTCCACAGTTTTAAATTAGATGAAAAACATTGGTCTACTCTAAAGGGATGACTAATAACATTTTAACTACACAAATTATATTCTGCCTCATTCTTTTCTTTATCCTATTAACAAGAAAGCATATCTAATAATAGCAACACTCAAAATATAAGAGTCTGGTGCCATCCTAGTTAATAAATCCATTATTACAGCATAAGCTTTCATACTTTTAATCACCTGCATCAGATTGTAGGTGATAATAAATATTTCCTAATATTTTTGTTTGCCATAAAAGCATGATTTTTTCCTGCAGCATACTGATGTTATGAAGATATAATCCAAATATAGGCAATTTTGCTAAAATCCAGAGCTTCAGCTTGACTATACTAATGGTGGAACGCACATTCTCCAGATATTGTTGAATTTTGGTTCACAAAAACTTCAGTCAGCATTGGAGAGCCACATACTGTATTCCCCATTTCTCCCATCTGAAAAAAATATATATTCATAGAACCATAAAGCTGAAAGAAGGCATAAAGCCATCAAGGCCAATTCCTTGCCCAGTGCAGGAACTTGATTATTTAACCTCTGCTTCAACACAGCCAGTGAAAAGAAATATATCAATACTTTGGACAATTGGTACCATTATTGATCTCTTCTTGTTAGGACATTTGTTCTAATATTTAGTAAGAAAGCTATTACCCTGTCCTGGACTTTAGGTCTTATATTTTTCTGTGACATTCTTTTCGGTATATGGAAAGTGCTACCATTCCTTAGATTTCTCTTCCAAAGGCTAAACTTTCCAATTTTATTCTTCTAAATGCTAAACTTTTCCTTCACTCTTTTTTTTCATAAGCATTAGCTTCTAAAACTTTGATAATCATCATTACTCCGCTCCAAACTTAATTCTAGTTTCTCTGAATTCTTCTTAAAGTATGGTGCTCTGGACTCGACATGACATTTGAGATAGAGTCTGTCAAATATAGAAAAAAGGAAATAATTCTTCTGTAATTTGAAAAGCATACTTCTGTTTAAGAAATCTAAAACCTCCCTTGTTTTTGCTTCTATAAGTATATATGAGAGACCTTGTCACACTGCTGATTCTTCTGGTAACTGTCTATTACTTCAAGACCTTTCAGAAGTAGTCTTATCAAGCCAGTTACCTATCATCTTGTCCATGTGAAGAATTTTTATATCAAGAAATTGATACTTGCCTATTTAATTTCATTCTGTTCTCTCCAGCCATTTTCTCTAATTTATTCAGATTGTTTTGAATTTTAGATCTGTATTCTATGGAATTAGCTATTAGGTCCAATCTAATTTTAGATCAATTGCAAGGTTGATAAGCAATCCCTCACGCTCTACATAGAACATAGGTAGAGCAATAGTAATAATCCAAGTTGTTAATAAAAATGTTAAATAGTATTAAGATTGAACATTAAATCTTCTGACATCAATTGATGAAGGAAAATTGATTATTACTTATCAGCACAATTTTTGAACTACCTAGATAGCCACTTGACTGACACACCATTTTATCTTTTAATATCAGATAGAAACCTTTTCATAGTGGTTATCATTAAAGAATGGAAACTGGTATGTTTGCCCCCCATATCTTTAATGGTGCTTGGTAAATGGATTGGAGATTTGAAGAAAACAATTGCTTTATTTTGCAAGTAAAGAACCTTTGAAGTAGGTGGACTATGGAATCAATGAATGTTTGTTATTTTATTTTGTTCATTTTTCTTATTTGCTTAGATAAGCATGCTACACCTTGCAAAACATCAGGGGTTAAATGTGTTTGTGGAGTCCCTATTGTTTTAAAATTATTATGATTATTAATTAATCTGGGTGGTTATGCTTCATTGTTATTATTTTAATTACATAGTTAGATATTATTAGATCCTCCGCATTTTATGAAATAAGTACCCATGACAATTTAATTTTTATTTTTTTTCCATTGGTAAATTTTCTACTCAACTGCTCTTTCCATCTTACAAAACAAGTGAATCCACAGCATAATTATTATAATTATTTTTCACCTCGTTCCATTCTCACCTTGCACTAACTGGCACTCTCCACAGCCAGCATTTTTTTCATTATTATTAGCGAGCCTGGCTAATAAAATCTCTTGTTGTACATGTGTAGCCCAGAGAAACTTCTAATATCACAATGGTTTAATGACTTGTTCAATAATGATCATTTTAAGAAAAAACAAATAAAATAAAGTTGTGATTTTACCAACCCTAACACCAAGAGAATTTTCTGTTGATAGGACAGAACTGCTGCCTTTTAGTGGTAATATTTATTGGTTCTTATAGCACTAACTGGGAAAATAAATAAAAACCTAGAGGTCAATTTCTGTTTAATTGTAATGATATTAGCAGAATGCAGCAAGAGAAGCCAATTAGGCAAGAGAGAGAATGACAATTTTAATCATCATGACCATCATCATTATTATCATTTGTTCTGAAATTAAATCAATATGGAGGTTTTTAAAAGGTGTAATGTTAGATTATGTTATTAGACTAATAAGGATGCTAGGTCCCTCAGTATAGATGGCGACTTTAAAAATAAAAAAATAATGATTTTTGAATATATTTGACCAACAGTACTAACTTCCATAAAGTTTGCCTCAACAATCTATAATGATATGGACATCCTGTTCAGAAAATATTTAGGATTCTATTTTGGTTTATTTGGAATACCTAAAAATGCAGCTGCTTTCCAAAAGATTAAGTTGTATCCCAGCTGTGTTCTGTCCTAAACAACTTCTTAAAAATGTAAATTCTTGCTTTGGCTTTTTGTTTATATAGATTTTCTTAAAGCCAACAGTGGCCTTGCTTGGGGGTAGGAGAAGAAAATAATGAATATGAATGCCAATTCCTTATATAGTTGCAGAGGAATGACTAAATAAGAAGTCAACTAAGAGAATACAGGATGTCTTAAGGCAAACTGCACCTGAAGCTGAACTGTGGTTTAGTTTCCTAGCCTTACTCCCTTCCTATTTTTACTTATTTTTATAAAATGGAGCTATAGGAACCTTGTATGGGAAAAAAGGAAATGTAGCTATTGTTTTTCTAGCATGGTGTTGTTTGGGGGAAGCAGCAGCGAATAACAAAAAATAGTAGATGGGTAAATGCTGCTCTATACAGTAGGGCTTAACCCTGAGTAAACGTGTATAGGATTATATCTGAATTACTCTGGTTAATATCCCACAATCCTTATCAGAATTCTCAATGCGTTTAAATATATAAATGCTATATTTCTTTAAAGCTGATGATCTGCTTAAGGAAATACAAAGATTGCTGGAAAAAGTAACCTACAATTTTGGGAGAAATACCCTTTTAGGGTGTACTTTCACCATGTTATAGCTGCTACATCTGTGCAAGTTAGTCCCATTCAAAGATGGGAACATAGGCAACCATACCAACCCACAACAGTAAATAAGGGCAGGGACAGAAGGGCATTCATTCATTCATTCATTCATTCATTCATTCATTCATTCATTCGTCTGGTATGACTACCCATCTTATCTACCAATACCATAGCTGACTCATGGAAAGATCAAGACATTGCCCAGCTAATGTCTGAATCAGGCCTAACATTGTTTAGGATAATGTACATAGATAGTTGGGAATAACTAAGCTCACTGCAGTTTTTCTTCCACATATATGTATCGAAAATTCCAGTGGTCACCTTATAATCAACAATACACGGAGAGTTCTCTGGAAAACTTTTAAGTGGGAAATATTAACTAAGACTGAGGCTCATTCACCAGAAGTACTAACTCTGCAATAGGAAATTACCAAAAGGTGTCTACTAAAGATTCAGTTAGTAGAACAAGAATATTTACCTAGGAAATATTTTAGAAGAAGGAAAAACAGTCTGCCCATGTTTACATCGAGGAGATGGAAAATACTACTCTTAGATAAATAATAGTTTCCCTGCCATTTCTCTGTCATCATTTATTTGAGGTTAATGTGTGTGTACAGCAACCCTTGAACAATCTATGATGCTATTCAATCTATGATGAACATTTTGTTTTGTTTAGCTTTTCGATAACCCATGGCGAGCCAACAAGATATCTTGGTAACTGAAAATTGTTCCATACTTTTCACAGTTCATCCAAAATGTTCTAATAAAATGAAAAGAATGCCCTCCTTACCTTGATCATATTCAACTACTGTTTCCCCATATACCTCTGGGGGACAAGGAAAAAAGGAAAAGAAAGAGACTGATATTAGGAAGTGTTTGCTAAAAGTTAGGAGTATCGCAATACCTGGGCCTAATGAAAATATCTTCTTTATTATATAGTAGAAGACTTGCAAGTTATTATTATGAAGGAAAGCTATATATGCACTAGACAACATGTGTTGAATGCTTGCAAAGTAATTGTATGAAAAAAATACAATATACAATCATTGAGGCTCATCTCTGGCTAAAGTTTCTTTTTTCTTCAGAAATTTCTACCCTATTCTTCAGAAAGCTCAGAAACACAATACTTGGATTTAGAGTTCTGGATATCAGAGAAAAATAATGAACAGACTTGACTTTTAAAGCAGGTTGTGTCTATATTAGCTCTCTGGATGCAAAATTATTATTGGATAAAAATAACCTGATGCCCAAGAATGAGACTGAGAGCTGTCACATTAGAGTGAGGCAAATCCTCTTAAAAAAGCAGTTGCAGAATTGTTAGATCTGTTTTCCTCTTCTCTGATTACTACATAAGCCACTCCATTCTAGCAACCTGCATTTATAAGGTATACAAACATTTGTCTTTATTTTACCTTAAATAATATTCAACCAGAATTGTGCATTCTTGTATGCATTTTAAATTATAATATGCATTCTTTTTTATGCATCTTTTGGCACATTTTTTAAAGATTGTTATGAGAGAAATTTACATGGTTAGTAATGTAGGGACAGGAAGAACTACCAAAACACAAATTGCCATTTTCAGATCGATTCCAGATGTTGCAAGTTTCCTGATTGACTCCCACTGCTCCAATTGAAATTGGATTCAAACAGATTTGATGTCAGGAAAGCCTCAATCAATTTGAGGGAATCTTTTCTATCCTTGAGAGGAACGTTCTTCCCCAAAGAGCAACTTTTGGGATGACCCTGTGCTGCTCCAAAGGCTCAGATCAATGTGACAGCTAGGAAGGCTTATTATCAAATGTAGATGATGTATCTTTGGGTTGCAAAAGATTCTACCTGGGGACACCCTTGAAAGGAGGACAGGAAATTGAATGAAGTCCAAAACAACAGCAACAAGGCTCCATCTAGGATATCCTACTGAGAGCATTTAACATCTCTTTTAGGTCAGTTACATTGATTTCCGCTTGCATTCTATGCCAAATGCAAGCTGGTAGTTTTTGCATACATTTTTTTTTAAGTCTAAGTCTACTGCTATTTTTATAGCAATAGCAGTAGACTTATATACCGCTTCATAGGGCTTTCAGCCCTCTCTAAGCGGTTTACAGAGAGTCAGCATTGCCCCGAACAACAATCCATTATCTCATTTTACCCACCTCGGAAGGATGGAAGGCTGAGTCAACCCTGAGCCGGTGAGATTTGAACCGCTGAACTGCTGATATAGCAGTCGGCCTGCAGTGCTGCATTTAACCACTGCGCCACCTCGGCTCTATATAGCTCAGGCCCCCTCTACTTGAAGGAGCAGCTTCCTCCTTATATTGTTACCTAAGAGTTTCATTCTGCGGGTATGGATCTTCTACAGGTGATGAAAGAGGCTGTCTGGAATGAATTGGCAACAGGGCCTTTTGAGTAGCAGGTCCAATATTGCAGAATGTCCCCTCAGAATCCATTTATCAGGCCTTTTTATGTTTTAAAATATTTTGTTAACATTTGTTAGTATTCCGCTACATCGTAGGTATGTTTATTTTTCTGCCAGGTTTTAATTGTTGGTGCCAAACAAACCTAACCATTTTTTAAATTTTCTCTGATGTATTATTTCATGTTACTGTTATTATCATGCTATTCCTATGATCTCATTTGAGACACGGTTGTTTGTGTATTATTTTCATTTCTGGCATTAGTTGGGAGACTAAGGTATATACATAAATTAACAAAATAAACCAGCAAATATGTATCCTTGCTTTATCATGTTAATTGCATTTTAGTTATGCCATAAAGAGGCCCTGGGGGATTTGTGTCATTTAGCAGTGGATCTGATAAGCTACTTCCTTCAAAGGCTTGTCCTTGGATATGTGACTAAGCAATGAGCTACAAAACTGATTTATCTGAATATCCAGCCCTGGATTTAGGCATGCAGAAAGGCAGAAAATTAGCAGAGCATATCCATGAGTACTAACTAGCAGTCAGAAGACAATATGAAAACTCCTTAATCTTACAACTCATGGACAGACTCAACCATAGTTTCAACTGGGAAACTATGTGAATCCTAGACCAAGCTAAAACCAAAAATCCTCAGGAATTCCTGGAAGCTTGGCATTCAGACAAATCAGCCATCAATAGATGCATAGAAACAAACCATATTCACACCATTAAAAAAGAAAATAAAAAACTAAAAAATCAGAACACATCTTCTTCAGCAGCCAATATCCAGATAAGCACGGACAAACAGCAGACAAGCAGTCAAGCAGAAAACAATATCCTAATGAAGAAATACCAAGGAGAAAACATCCCCACCAATACTTGAAAAGCAAAATACTATACAGAATATAAACAGGATATAAACCCTACATTCATTTGCACTGCTGATGTTACCAAGTTGGGTAATGAAATGCCTGCAAGCAAACAACCTAGCTGCCTTATTGCTGTTCCACCAATTTTTCCATTGTATTAATACTTTCACTTACCTCCTGTCTGCTGCAAAAAAATCTCTGCTGGATTATGAGGTTTCAGCCCCAGTGCTGAAAGTGGAGTTTTAGCCAGTCCTGGTGGAGACCGCACTGTTTCAGATATACAGAAAGAGAAAGAGAGAAATCAACAAACCAGAAAATGAATAGATTAATTAGTAACAAAGCTAAACATTGGTTTGATGCTAATTACCAAGATATAGCAAAATCTAATCATGATTTTAAGAATAAATGGGTTGCTGGAAATGCTCAGTGTGGCTGTCCTGTGAAACCACAAGAGAATTGGCCCTTATCGCAGAAATACCTTGGACTAAGAAACCGCTTTTCTTTTGGAGAAAAATGTACATTCTTAAAACAATCGAGATGGCCATTCAACATAAAAAAAGAACAAGAATATTCTTGGCATATTGGGAGTGAAGATTTATTAATAAGATCGTCTCACCAATACTGGTTATGAACTTTTGACAAAAGCCTCTCTCAGGCACAGCTGCTTCTACTGCCCTTTTACTCTTAGCAGAACTGGTCAAAGACACCCCAGGTTATTGTTTGCCTAATATATGCCACACATTACTATGCCTTTAACATCATGGCTAATAGAAAAAGAGACAAAAAAAACCCTAGGTGTCTATACAATCCCAGTTTGATAAGACTTTCGGCAGAGCATAACCTATAACCATATGAAGCAATTTTCATCCCCACTTTTTAATAGTATAAAAATGTTTCCATAACAATAACAATATCACTTAGACTTATATTCCACACCCCATAGTGCTTTACAGCATTCTCTGAGTGGTTTACAATGTCAGCACATTGTCCCCAACAATCTGGGTCCTCATTTTACTGATCTCAGAAGGATAGAAGACTGAGTCAACCTTGAGTCTCCCAGGATCGAAATCTAGGCTGTGGGCAGAGTTTGCCTGCAATACTGCATTCTAACCACTGCACCATTGGGGCTCCGTGTTATTCCTATCTAATTTCTTTACCTGACATCTACATATTCAATTAGTTCTAACACCAAGGATATCATTGCAATGGTCTCTTCCATATTTAGCTGCCTCAAACAGCAGCCATCAACAATTTAGTCCTGTGATATGGAATTTAGAGTATACATTGCAAAGCTGGACAAGGCTGAAGCATACCTGATTTTCCTGACTTGCAATTAATTGCAATTTTCTATGCAAAAGATATCCAGAGAATGTACACATCCTCGTTTCCATTTCTCTCATTTATAAAAATTCAGAGTGCTTTCACTTGGCTTTCTTAAGTATCCTTCCTATTAGCAGCTCTTTAGGAATTTACAGAACAATGCAAAACACAATACCTATCAATTTCCAGATTATTCTTTACTTGTTTGGTATGAACCATAAAAAAGGAAACATATTCTTGGCAATAAATGTCCATAGCCTGCCCTTCCCATTACCAATAGATTTGGAAAATGTCCATGAATGAATGGATGACATCATCTCATGTCACAGTTTTGTCTAAAGGCAGATATGGCAACTGCAAAGATTATGATCATGAGACAGAGGGGCCACAAACACTTCATCAAAGCATTGTATATCATAAATAGCAACATCATATACACAGCTGCAGAAGTCTATATTTATAGCATGTACATCAACAAAATATTTGCACAATTACATCAATGTGGATCAGATTTTATGCCTTCCCAGTCTAAAAGGAGAACAACATGTAGGCCATTCTTGCATATATACCCGTAGTAGATATGCAGCAAGGAGCAATGAAGAAAACAGATGCAGATGTATATGTGAGATGTGTTTAAAACAGCAAGTCTCATAAAAGTACTTTCCAGCCTTCCTTATTTCGTTCAACTGCTGGTTGTGCTTGGTGCTGACAATTCTAAACAATTCAGGCTTTTTAATTGAAACTCTTTAAAAAAAACTGGTTGGAAGCAAACAAATGAATGGGGGGAGTTTAACACATCTTTTCATGACTTGAATTGCAATCATCTGACTTACGGCTTCAGATGGGCACCCAGGCAGGGGCTCACAGCAGGAGGAGAGAGGAAGGTAGGCAGGCACATTAAAGAAAAGCCAGTTACCAAGAGCTTGCATTTCATCATGGATTAACTTGGCTGGCTAGCATTCACTGCTAAGGGCCAATGAGCAAAGGGGAAACAAGCAAGTTCATGTTCAGGATATTAGGTAACCCAGATTCTCAAACAGTACATATATCATTGCATTTCTGTTCCCAAACTCTGTAAGTCTCAAGCACTTTAGTTTGCTGGTGAGGAAGATAAATCTTCATCAAATAGTTCGCAGAAGAGCCATAAATATTCATATTGAATACTAAAGACAGTTTTGGCCTGTTATTCTAAGAATAATTTAAGATGGCATATCTCTTACATAGTCATCCCCAATAAAACCTCTAAAATTATAGCCTCTAATTTTCAATACCTGACTATAAGAAGTGTGAATTTGGAGAATTTTACTCTAACACAACTGGAGAGCACAAGGTTAGGAAAGGGGAACTAAGTAACTTGAATTAGAATGGATGTTGTCCCTAAGCATATCAAGCAAGGGATAGTGTTATAAAAGTTATAGCCTTACACTTATCTGAGATTACATTTTAGTGAATGAATAGACATTGAGTAAAACTCCATGGGATATGGGCCACAGAAAGCAATGAATGGGTTTAGTAAAAACTAGATTGGCTTGATTGCATTTGTGCTCTATCAATGATAGCAGATAAATGTCCCTGTGAATGTCTGGAGACCCTCCAGACGCTTCTGCTCTAGCAATGGGCTGCAAGCCAGGCATATCACACAGTCCAGGCAATCTTATATTAATCTCTGTTAGTTTGGGGGACTGGCACAAAATCAGAATGTATGAATTTGTAAGAATCACCCATGATCCTGCTCAACCTTGGAAAAGAGCCAGGTCCTTACATGTCAGGATGCCAGGAAAGAAGACAATATGAGTGGAGGGGAAAAAAAACACCTTGTCTTATTCTTTAACCATCATTAAACCTGGGAAATTATCCATGTGCTGGTTGCTTTTATTTTTCAGAATTGTGCTCCTCTTAATACTACTTAAACATTCATATTTTATGATTCACAATGTACCGAGAGGAAGGATAGCTTTTTAAAAGATGTCTTATTTAAAATCTACAAGTTTACAGTTCATGTTAATATCCAGCACTTTGACATTTGAGAGTACTCAGGTTGTTCGGGGAAAAAATCCAGTTATTTAAAGGAAAAGGTTCTTCTACTATTCTGGAGTCTTTGCTCTTTCCCAGTTGCTTAGTGGCTCATTGATGTTCCTTCATGCTTAGCCATGTTAGCTCTGCCCGGATGAAATACTGGCAGAACTGTTCAAAGCTAATGAATTTTAAAAACCCACCACCAAGATACCAAAGATTAGTCACTCAGAACCATGCTTGATCAAAAGAGGAAGAAAAAGAGGGCATGCAACAGGTAGGTTCAGGTCAGGTTCTCACCAACTTTCAGCAGCTAAATGAGATCTAATTCTGATCTGGGCTGTTATGTCTTCACGTAAACAGCTACAGAATCCATACCAGATGTGCACGGACTAAGAGAATGAGCTTATTCAAGTAATTGGGCTGATCTGGTTGCAAATTCAATTACTGCATTAGAGTTTGTAGAGAGGCAGGACTGCTATGAATCAGGTTGTTCATCTGGAGTTCTCTCAATCATGGAAACCTGACTGGTCCACTAGGCATGCCATGGAGGCTCGCCTCTGCCCTTCAACAGCTCAAAAAAAAATCCAAAATATTTAACAGTTGGCTCTTGCAAGTCAGTGTGAGATGACTCCAGCACACCATTGGATGAATGGCATGTCTTACAGTTGAGTGTCTATGGAGATTCTCAATCACTGAGGTCCCGGTTATCCCAAGGGTGCTTTTTCAAAAGGCAAACTGTCAGAACCAGTCAGAATTGAAGAAGCTTCTTGGATGAGAAGTGAAATGACTTCAAGGAAAAACCAAATAAAGTGTAGTTGCCTCTTGAAAAAGCAGCTTTGGGACAGTTGAAGTTAACATAACAAGTGCCTCACATGAGGGGGGGGCAAGTGTCTCTATGGCAGCCTAACAGAATTTCAACAGTGGAAATAACGATCTAATTGCAGGAAATTTTGCATGTAGTTTTAGCGGCTGTGTGACTCCATATATCTTCAATTAGATTAATATTGAGTGGTACAACATGATTCAAATGGTGTGTTTACTGCCTGAATTTGCATCTGCAGACAGCTATCAATATTATGGAATCAACATTCTTCCTAGGAATGGCTGTTGGCATTGGAGTGGAGTACTTCACATAGACAGGTCCCCTCCCACCTTCCTAATGGAAGCTTTCATTTGTATTTCGGAGAATTAGGAGATGTACGGCATAATAATTGCCCAAAAACCATCTCCATCAAGGTGAGTTGCACACCATTGCTGATTGATATATTCAAAATGCCATGTTTTGTTCTACAAGTGCATTCTATAGGATGCATAGAGGCATAACTGTGGAATAAAATGTGGAATTTTGAATATATGCTTTATTTTTTAGTTATTTGTGTTGGTAACTTCATGCCTTCCCATCTAACAATGCTTATTTTATGAACTGGCAAAGTAGGGCTAAATCCTGTGTACTCAGAAGGGATCTTTTAATTCTCTTTGTTTAGCTTGAAGGGCTGCCACAGAGACGAGGGTATTGATTTATTCTCCACAGAATTTGAGGGTAGGACAAGAAGAAATGGGTCGAAGCTTGTCAGAGGGAGGGAGATCCAAGCTGGAAATAAGGAAGACTTCCTGACATTAAAAATTAGTAATCAACGGAACAACTTGCCTCATGGAGTTGTGGGTGTTTTATTGCTAGAGTTTTCCAAGAAAAGTTTGGGCAGCCATTTATTCAAGATGATATGAAGATTCCTGACTTGGATAGGGGGTTGGGTTAGAAAACCTCCAAGGTCACTTCAGCTCTATGACTCTATGATACAAAAATCTAATGCACTCATTTGGCTGCTCTCTGTCAGTATGCATTCCCTAACGGAGGTTTATATTACTGACACATCTACAATATTTCAAATATAAGTTTAGGATATGGATAAATTTTCATTTTCTCCCACCTGCAGAGTTCAGCTGACCTCCCACCTCCCTCCATACTTCCAACATAATAAGAGGCTCAGAGGAAGAATCACAACTATTACCTAAAATAGGATCTTCTTGCCAAAAAAAACCCATAATTTTTCCTCTGGGGCCACGCTCAGGGGTTAGGCTTAATTAAGAACGGATCCCTCTTATTCTCCCATAAATGTTGTTGGGATATTATTTTTCTACCTAGAAAGACTGTTAGTGACAGTCAAAGTCATATATGCAACAATTTGATTTCCTGGAACCATGTGATTGTCTAGAATCTATGCACTAAAAGGAACATCTGTCAAATATCAGAGCAAACGAATTTCTGTAGCCACATGAGGATTTTAAATGTCAATGAGGGATATACAATTATTCTTTTAGTTCATGATTATGCCATATTAGCATCATTATGCTAATAACAAGGACCAGAGCAAGGATAATACATTCCCCTGTAGAATTTGTGCATTAGGTTTCACTGAGGAATAATATTTCCCTAGTAAACCAGCCAATGTATTTTTAAAGAGGTTAATAATTTATATTTCTGTTAGAGAAATTTGTATTTTTTTATGGATTGATGATGAATGTCAGCCTTGTATGCCATCATCATCCTTATTCTGATAATTACATATTTGCTGCAGTTAGCGGGAACACATTTTTGACCCACATTACTAAATTAACTATCAAAAGGAGATTCATTTAAATTATTATATTATTTGCCTTTTGCTTAAAAGAATGATTTGTTTAAAATAACTGCTTCCATTACTACTACTAGCTGACCTGCTTAATTAATGATATGCAGAATTAAGTAAAACCCATCATATGTTGTATTTTAACCTTATCTCCAGCAAGAAGGGTAAAGATGCAGCAAAATAGAGCAGATACCCAGCAGGTTAGTCATTTACATAGCAATAAGTGGTATAGTACTGCCCTATTTTAATTGTATATTTCTGGTAAATGATCATGAACCCTTATTTACTATGGGCAATAACAAGCAGAGGACAGATCAGAAAGAAATATGGCTTTATCACCAGCTGGGAGCTGCTGGCTATATTTATACTTGTAGTACTTGCAAAACTATGCCGTTGGGATTATTATGATGGAAGGATGCGTATTTCATGGTGATTTCATGAGAAGGGTGCACAAAGCAGAAATGAAAGTGGGTGGGGAAACAGCTGAGATGGGCCAATGGATAGAAGGGAGAATATGAAAGTGGGATTAAAATGGTGGTGGGTGTCAGGAAGCTGAGAACGGTTTGCCTCTAAGTATGGCTTTACCAAAACCAAATGCCAACCAACCTCCCTCTCCCAGCCCTTTGTCTAAGCCACAGAACTTACACAGGTTGCTGTAAGGGGTTTGTGGTGAGACAGGGAAAGCAGGGGTTTGGGGAGAAGTCTCACCACCACTGGAAGGTGGACTGCTTGGAGAGGTCCCTTGAATCTCCTCCAAAGCTTCTTTGTAGCTGTGAAGATGGGGCTGTGAAAGAGAGAATGAAAATATAATTAGTTTCCAGACCTGGGATACAAGTAGTCATTGACTTACTACAAGTTCATTTAGTAACCGTTCAAAGTTACAACAGCACTGAAAAAAGTGACTTATGATCATTTTTCATACGTACAACCTTTGTGGCAGCCCTGTGATTGTGTGATCAAAATTCAGATGCTTGGCAACTGGCTCATACTTATGACTGTTGCTGTGTCCCAAGGTCATGAGATCCTCTTTTGCAAACTTTTGAAAAACAAAGCCAACAATGGGG